ACCAAAAAACTAACAAACTACAACAAAATAGTAACAGTAATAATTTTTTTAAAAAAACTCTGCTAGAATCTAGTCATTTCTTTCTTTTTTTTTGGGGGGGGGGTCCGGTTGTGGGCCTGAACTCTGGGCCTGGGCGCTGTCCCTCAGCTCTTCAGCTCAAGGTTAGCACTCTACCACTTGAGCCACAGCGCCACTTCTGGCTTTTTTCTTATGTGGTACTGAGGAATCGAACCCAGGGTCTCAAGTATGCAAGGCAAGTGCTCTACCACTGAGCCACCGTCTCAGCCCCGAATCTAGTCATTTCTGATCAATCATATTATTCACTTTTTCCTTCCCTAACAGAATATGGTGAATGATCAGATGATTGTGTTTGTGCGTGTGTTAGGGGGCAGAGGGTGTTGTCTCCACCTTTTGTAATTCCCAATTCCCATCATCCTGGTCTTTAGGAGTGGGAAATTAAGCCAATACAAATTTGCTAAAGCTAGAGTAGAAAGTATTTGTTTTAGATACTCTTCTCCGTTTCCTACTAATCACTAACCTACCACCTCCTTAGAGCTTCCCCATCTCCCTGATCACCAACCGCCCAGAAATAAAACAGTAAACAATTCTCCTGAAAGGTGCCTTCCTGGTGCTGTCTGAAATAAATGCAAGCCTCTGTTGGACATTTTAAACACCACAAGCATTCTTACTTAGATTAAATCACGGGTCTCCCTGGTCTCCAGGCATGCCTAGACATGACCCACAGAGGCAAGGAGATCCTTTTGAGTTTCTCTAGTAACTGCAGGAGGAATCAACAGCAACCCTAAAAACAGAATGCTTTTCCCCCCCAAAACTAAAGTAGGCCACACACATTTTTATCATTATTTTACTTTTTTAGTTGTACTACATACTAAATAAGCTGCATTCAAAAGTTACTTTAGATTATTTTCATATAGGGTTTTTTTTAATTACCTCTGAAGAAAGTTTTAAAAATTGAGTTTTCAAGACATCTAATGTAATCACCACCTTGGATGGCAGCAATCCAGTTCAGGTAAGATTATTTAAGATGCAACTAAAATAGCTTTAAAGAAACAGCAAAGAAGAAGGAGGATTAAATATTAGATTGGGTGAAAATGACTAACAGAAAGAACTGAATGGTTTCTAGAAGTATAACTTCACAAAATGTATAGGCTTGCATGTTGTTAAGGGAATGTGGGTTATTTGTACTTTTGTTTTATTCATATACATACACTTAAATGCATATGAGCAATTTATAGGATGTATTGCTATAACTTTGTGCTTCTCCCAAAGAGAGGATGAATTAGTAGAAAACCGTTATTTGTGAATGATGTCTCTTATGAGCTAATTTTACAGTCAGTTACTTCAGTTCTGTTTGGTGAAGACAGAACTATGTCTTTGGCCAAAAAAAGAAACATACTGTCTTTCATATTCAAAGATAATACTATAGCTTTCCCAAAACTCATTCTTGGGAACTTCTCCCTGTATCTTTAGAGTTTGAGTTTGGAATTTGTGATGAACAATCGGGATCATCAATTCCTATATGCACGTTAGTAGTTACATCCAGGAGATAGTTGTTGGATTTAGAGAATTAATTTATAGATAGGTGGGTGTCCTTTGTAAAAAGCAATTTATAGCTAAGCCTTTAGTGTCAACAATGAATTTTACTGGGTGAAGCAAGATCATTCTACTGGAGCTACTTCCAACTGAGTTCCACAGTGTGGAATCAGAGACTATTAATTATTCACTCCTGACTCATTCATTAAAGGAAAAGTAGAAAGAAATATTAGTAACAATCATCCAGAAATCCTGTCACTGTCTCCTTGCCCAACCTACTACAATTACAAACACATCTACATCTTCAGGTGTAAAATTTTAAGGACAGGAAAATGTAACTCTTGGAAGACACTGTTTCTCAAGTCCTCACCAAATCTACTCTTGGTTTAGGACTCTCTTCAAGCCCAGGCCTGTGGCTCATGCTTATAATTCTAGCTACTTGGTAGGCTGAGACCTGATGATCGCAGCTCAAAAGCAGCCCTGGCAGGAACCACAGCCTGAAGCTATGGTTCAAGTGGTAGAGTGCTAGCCTGGAGCAAAAAAGGTCTGGGACAGCACCCAGGCTCCTATCAAGCCCCAGTACCAGCACACACACACACACACACACACACACACACACACACAAAGGCTCTACTAAAATCTCACCTATTACAGTTCCCACTGACACCCTTCCCTTCCATTTTCACTAAGGTCCATTCAGTTTGGTAACTATATACTGTTTAGTGAATAATGCATCCCCACCTACACTCTCCCAGGCTGAACTCAAGCAGGTAGGATGAATGTCCTTGTGTCAAACATACAGTTGGCATTTAAACAAATATGTGTTCAAAGTAGGAATCGTTTTTGCCTAAGGCAGATCTTGAGAGTCTAAAGCCATGGCTCTGCTCTCAAAAAGAGTAAAATTTGATCCAACAGTCGGACTGCTTCCCCATTTGCCAAGAAGAACTAGCCCTCACCTGTTGGCATGGCCCAGTCAGAGAATAGGTTCAAATCCCAGCGGAAGACACAGCTCTGGCTGGTGGGATTCTCTAGGCTGCAGGCCAGAGACTTCCCCCCAGGCACACCCCTTTTTGGAAAGCTCAAGCCTACCCCGGGAGGCAACTGGGAAACTGTTTTCTGAGCAGAAGCGCCATGAAATCTGGGGGTGGGGTGGGGTGATGGGGGGTCTGCGGGACCTCTAGGGTTATGGGGGAAGGGAAAGAACTCTTAGCCCTTCCCCCGATACCAGACAGAGAAACTTCTCAAGAATCTGTGCCTCCACCTGGGGCCTCTCCCCAGGAGGCCCCCTCCGGGCCCCGCCCCCGGCCCCTCGGGTGGCCTCCCCTCCCCCAGCCCGCCCCGCCCCCCTCGCGCGGGCCCCGCCCCCGCGGCCCTCGGGGTTCCGAGGGCGGTTGGCCGCAGCCCGCGCGTCACTGGCCGGTCGGAGCGGCTGGGCGCACGGGCGGAGAGCCGGCTCTGGGGTTAGGGCTGGAAGCTGCAGAGTTTTCGGAGGCCGGCCGGCCGGGCCGGGTGTAAGAAAGTGGGAGTGGGGCCCGAAGGGGGCCGAGGGGAAGGGAGAGAGCCGGGAGGTGCAGGAGACCCCGGGAACGGGGGATCCCAGCACTCTGGGGGGGGGCAGAGGGGAGTCACCGGGTCGGGGGCGCGGCCCTGGGGGGAATGGTGGATGGACGGACGGACGGACGTGGGAGTCTCAGGCAGCGCCACCCTCCGGCCGTGAGGGCCCGGCGAGGATGCCCTGGAGCCCGGGGCATCCTCGGGGACCCCGGTGCAGACACGTGGGGCGGTGCGACCCGGCGGAGCTCAGGGACAGCACGCCGGCCCCGCGGACCGTCGGAGAGCTGCAGCGGCGGGCGCCCGGTGCTCGGTTTGTAGGCAGTGTAATTAGCTGATTGTACCTCGGTGCTTTACAATCACTAACTCCACTGCCATCAAAACAAGGCACAGCATCACCCGCAGCCCCACCCGGCCCGCCCGCCCGCCGAGGCGTCGATCCTCCCGCACGCGGTCCCAGCGCCGTGCTGCAGACCCCGCGGAGAGGCGGGATCGTCAGCGGTCTCTCGGAGTCCCCAACACCCCGGCGAGCAGCCCCCCCCCACCCCAATCACCCCCCTGGTGGCAGAGCCAAAGAGACGGGCGGAGAAGCCCCCGCGTGCAACAGTTACCGCCCTGGGCTATGATGTCCGGCGCCTTCACTATTCCCTCACCAGGCCTACAACTAAAGTGAAGCACGAATGAACCAGTGCCCCGGCCAGGCACAGCGAATTGGAGACACCCCACTGCAAGGTTTTGGTTCGGGGGAGAATGGGGCGGGGGGACTTTGTATTTTTATTTTCTGTGAGTCTAGTTACTAGGCAGTGTAGTTAGCTGATTGCTGACCGTACCAATCACTAACCACACGGCCAGGTAAAAAGACTGGGATTCGTCCAGCCGAGCTGCCTGCGCCAACCATGGGTTTGGGAGAAGAAGACTGCTCAGCGTAGTGTGTGTAAATGTGTGTATGTCTATGTATGTATGTGTGTGTGTGTATGTGTGTGGTGTGTGTGTGTGTCTGCATCTCTTTCAATACGCCTACAGGCTCTTGGCTGTTAAATGTCTTACATTTTCAATGATCAGTCTCTGGACTTTCTGCGATGCCATAATGTGACATTTCGAATAAAGTGCCACGGAACGTCGGTTATGGAGATTTGCCACGTGTCGTACTTCTTTCCCAAGCTGGCCTCGCGAGGTCCATCCCAGCTCCTGACACAATTTTATCGCAGTCACCGAAAGGGTTCAATTGGTTCCTGGATCAAGGAAGTCTGGGGAGAGCTACCCACACCCCCGGGTGAACACGTCATTGCGGATACGTTAACACTTTGCACAACGTGTTGTGCAGGGGCAACCCGGACAACTCAACTGGACAGTCACCACTTAGGACGGCTGTAACGCTAGGCAACTTTCTGATGGGCACGATGATGAAATGTTAACATTTCAAGTCCAGTTGGGTAAAAAAAAATGGTCACAAAAGATGAGAAAAGCTCAATAAAACTCGGTACACACTGTACACGGGTGTGGCTAGCTGGGAACTAGCTTCTGCGCGCTAGGCTTTAACGGCCCCACCGGACTGGAGCATCACGGGGTGGGCTGAGCACCGGTACCCTCGTCTGACCGGGGTCGGCGCTGCGGCCTGGGCTGAGGAGGGAGGGCCGATTTAGGGTACAAGAGGCTAAAGTGCTCCCTCACTGACTCCCCCGACAGGACGGGACAAGACGCCAAGATGATGCTTTGACTGAGATCGCCGCGGAAGTGGGCTTCGGATGGGCCACGAGTTGGCCGGAAGGGACCCCCCCCCCCAAGTCCTACTCACAAAACCAAGGGCTTTCCGCAGTGGCTGTTACCAACCAGGCGAGGGGGCGGGGCCAGGAAGGGGGCGGGGAGCCGAGCTGGGAGAAGCGTCCTGAGTTGCCATGGAAACGAAGCCCCGAGGCAGTCCCAGCAGCCCGAAGGAGGGGGCCCAGGAAATCTGCCCCCCTGGGTTACTGGTGTTTGCCGGCTGCTCGGAGCAGGAGGTCAGCTTGGCTAAGCAGTTCTGGCTCGGGGCTTCTATGTATCCCCCCACCGAGTCGCAGCTAGTGCTGAGCAGAGGCAGCAGTCAGCGCCTGGCGGTGGCAAAGCCCTCTAAGTCCGCTCCGTCTGGTGAGTACCCTTCTAAGCTGACTCGGTGCTGGCAGTAATTCCTTCTGCACGCTAATGCACCCCAAGGAGACCCGACAGATACATTTCCAGCAGAAACTGCCCAAATAACAAACTTCATCTCACACGTGTAGAAGATACAAGCACATCTAAGCAACTATATAGTTACTAAAACTTCCCAGCGATCTTTCCACCCAAAAAGGATCAGGAGCGATACTTCTTCTCCATCTAAAAATGACATGCTACGAGTTTCTTAAACGATGCCATCGGTCTGGTAAGCAGTATGAAATGATCCATACAGATGTTGGCTAAAAGGTGATTAAGGATATTTTACTACTTGCATAATTGAGTTCAAATTTGAAAGCCCTAGAGAAGTTGAAGGCAAGTCAACTTTAGGAACCAAGTTCACTGGCCAGTAAGCCCGCAGGGACCCCTAGAATGTTTTATGGGTACAAAACATTCAGTCAGCTTTAATATTTTGGTCTTTTCCAATCATTTCTTTGCTTCCCATTTGTATTTTCCAGGGAAGAAACCTGGCCAGTCTGATCTCCTCGAGCATATCAGTAAGTACCAAATTTAATACTTTTCAACATTCAGTTCTTCAGAAAAATGGGTAGAGTACGAGGTAAAACACATTTTGGTGTACCATATGGGTTGTATACCTAGGCCTTGCCCTGGGGACCACACTATGTACTGGAGGATAATGCCCGAATCTATGAGTTGACAGAAATGTAGACACTGGAATTCTGATTCTACACATAGGTCTTTTAAGAGATCTTTACTTGTCTCCATTCAGACTTACTCATCATCTAAAGACATGAGCATTCCCTGCAGTAACAGCTAGTTAATTCAATTGTTTATATAAATCTGGTTATAAAGGTTCAAGACACAGCATGTATTCCTGTATACTTTCCTATTCTTTAAAATTATCTAATTTCATACCTGTGTTATTAAAAATCATGATAAGGGTGTTTCCAATGGAATTTTACTTTATTTCCTCTAGAAACCGAAGATATATTTGCTAAAGCCCTAAAGCAACAGGAATCTGAGGAAAAAGAAAAGTACCTCAAAAAGGTAGGCCCATATGTCAGGTCTTTCCATTTTCATTGAATTTCTAAATAATTTGAATTTTATTTATTGGTGCTGGGGACATTATTTTTTGACACATGGAAATAAAATTTCTTTCTGATATATCAACTTAGAAAAAATTTTATCAGAATTTTAAATGAAAATTTAAAATTTTTTGTAGAATTAAAAATCCTATACTTCAGTTATTCTTGGTCTCTTCCAAAGTGTACAGATGCATAGGAACAACAGAATCAGAGAACCAGAGAAAGATAGAAAATAGAGAAACACAGAAAGATAGATTTGAATTTTCCATTATGGTTTCAAACCATGCAGAATATGATAATAACAAAGAAGTTATAAGACTAGGAAAAAATGTCACAGAATCATCTTAATAGGTCAAAAGTAAATGGTCAGAAAATTGAGCCTGTCATTTAGACCTGTTCAACTAAATAGCTTGGTGTAGTCAAACCAACCGAGCATAGGTCTCTTTTTGGCAATGTGCCTTGTTTGCTTTTCATGATACAGGCATAGACTTTAACTCAGCAATTAATACTGTGATTTAAAGCAACATTTTGCTTGGTTCATGGATAAAAATTTTTCCTGTAATTGTTCCTGTATTGTAAAGCCAAGACAGAAGCTTTTGGTTTGGCCCAGTGTCTTTAATCACTGAAAATGTTGGCTAACTCTGAAGGATGTATCAGAAATTCTACATAAATTACAGAACAAGACACTTAGGTTTATTGATCACAACAATTCACTCTGTGGAATACTGGTGATCCCCCCGCCCCAAGAAATAGGTAATTAATAATAATTAGTATTTTCTTTTCCTTTTTTTTGGGGGGGTCAGTTGTGGGGCTTGAACTCTGGGCCTGGGAACAGTCCCTGAGCTCTACAGCTCAAGGCACTATTCTACCACTTGAGCCACAGGTACCACTTCTGGTTTTCTGGTGGTTAATTGGAGAAAAGAGTTTCGTGGACTTTCCTGCCTGGGCTGCCTTTGAACTGCAATCCTAAGAGCTCACCCTCTGAGGAGCTAGGATTACAGAAGGGAGCCACCAGCACCCAACTGTATTTTCTTTTCTTTTTAGGATAGTTTGTACCCTGCATATTTATACCAGAACCTCATAGGGATAAATAAAGGCATAATTTTCAGTAAGTAAAGCATTATTAGAAGTCAACTTCCTTGGCACTTTTGGGATTTAATTTTTGGGGATCCTGTCGTGGGGCCTGAACTCTGGGCCTGGGCGCTGTCCTTCAGCTCTTCAGCTCAAGGCTAGCATGCTACCACTTGAGCCATAGCACCACTTCCAGCTTTTTTTTTCTGCTTATGTGGTGCTGAGGAATGGAACCCAGGGCCTCATGCATGCAAGGCAAGGGCTCTACCACTGAGCCACCTTCTCAGCCCCTTGGGATTTAATTTTTATTGTATTTCATTTTAGAAAAGGATTAAAAACAAAAAGTTAAAGTATCAGTTTTGTTAGCTTTTGTCAAACAATAAGAATAATACATGTTGCACATAAATATAATACTAACAGACTATAATATTAATCATCTTAAAACTAAGCTGGTACATGCCTGTAATGTCAGTCAGGAAGACGGTGAAGGTAGAAAAATCTCGGTTGGAGGCTAGTCCCAGGAAAGAGCATGAGACATTATCTAAAAACAAATTAAAATAAAAAGGGGTGGGGCTATATTTAAAATGGTAGAATGCTTGCCTAGCATGCTTGAGGTCTAGAGATTGAGCCCTAGTACTTCTAAATCATGACTACAACTACTACCACTATCATCATCATCATCATCTTAAAACTAGTTTCTTTACCTTGGGTCCATCCATTTATTAACTATTCAATAAGTTCAAAAATTATTGAAAGCCTTCAGTGTGCAAGTACTATACTAGATGCTGGGTTACAAAGATAAGAAGTGGCCCCTGATCTCAGGAGAGAATACTGCCTGTTCAAGTTCCTTTCCATCTCTCCCCGTCCCCACCCCCCAGCCAAAGTTGTAAAGTTCATCCTCAGAGGGCAAAGTTTCAAAGGATATAGAGTTGTCAAAGAATATGCAAAACCTTCACGAAGCACTTCCTATCTTCCCAATAGAAAATCGCTAATCCTCTATCTTGGTTCTTGTTCTTTCCATGGCTCCCCATTTCCTACAGATTAATGACCAACTCCTTAGTATGTTGAATTTCTTCTTCAACTTGACCATAACTTCACTAACTCTCTTACCAGTCTCCCTTGCTCATGCTGTGACACTTAGGAATGTTTACTCTCTCCTATATGTGCTTCTGAATTGAAGAATTGGTTAAATACATTTTTGCTATACCTAAATACGCACAATATCTGCCAAGCTGTACATTAAGCCAAGGGATCCTGCAATGCAGATGTCTATTTGCCAAGAGCAGAAGATAAGAGGCATTACAAAACAGTGAACCAGCAGAAAAGAAGGACATTATTAACTAAACCATGCCTTCTGGAAATGTAAGAAAACTTAGTACTGTACACTACTAGTCTACTGATATAATACTGTTAGTCAATTTTCATTACTGTAACAAAACTACTAAGGTTTTTTTTTAAGATTTTTTTCTTAGCTGGACATTGGTGGCTCACACGTGTAATCCTGTGGCTCAAAGTGGTAGAGTGATGGCCTTGAGCAAAAAGCTCAGGAAATTTAAAAAACAAATTTAAAAACCTCAGGGCTTGGGCACTATCCCTGAGCCTCTTTGTGTTCAAGGCTAGCATTCTACCACTAGAGCCACAGCACCACTTCTGGTTTTTTTCTGAGTAGTTTATTAAAGATAAGAAGAACCTCATGGACTTTCCTACCTCAGCTAGCTTCAAACCTCAACCATCAGATCTCAGCCTCCTAAGTAGCATGGACCACCAGAGTACAGCAAAAAAAATAAAAAAGGTGGGGGGGAAGGGGAGTATTTTTAAACAGGAGGGGCTGGGAATGTGGCTTAGTGGTAGAGTGCCTGCCTAGCATGCATGAAGCCCTGGATTCAATTCCTTAGTACCACATAAACAGAAAAGGCCAGATGTGGTGTTGTGGCTCCAGTGATAGAATGGTAGCCTTGAGCAAAAGAAGTTCAGGGACAGTGCCCAAGCCTAGTTCAAGCTCTAGGACTGGCAAAAAAAAAAAAAAAGGAAAGAATCTGGATATGATACTGATAGCCTATAACCCCATCTATGCACTGGAGGTTTGGATGGGAGGATCCTGGTTAGAGACTAGCCCAAGGTAAAAGTAAGACACTGTACTTTCTGAAAGAAGAAAAAAGTAAAAGGTATGTGAGCATGGTTCATGGTTCAAGCAGTAGAGCACTTGCCTAGCAAATGCAAGGCATTGAGTTCAAACTCTAGTATTACCAAGAAAAAAGCTAGGGGAGGGAGAGGGAGGTTGATTTTAACTCATAGTTTTGTAAGTTTCAGGCTGTGGTTGGTTATCTCCATTGCTTTTGGGGTGGTGGCAAGGAAGCAAACCATAACAGAAACATGTGGTGGAGGAACAGCTTTACCTTTTGGCTAGACACAAGAAGGAGATATTTTTCTGTGGTGCTTTGGGGGGGGGGGCACGTGTGTGCGTGCACACACACATGCTAGGGACTGAACCCAAAGCTCCATGCATGTAAGATATCTACTTAGCACTGACTACCCAGCCTGAGATGTTTCAACCTGGAAAATTTTTCTTTTTCTTTCTTTCTTTTTTTTGGGGGGGTCCGGTCGTGGGGCCTGAACTCTGGGCCTGGGTGCTGTCCCTCAGCTCTTCAGCTGTAGGCTAGCACTCTACCACTTGAGCCACAGTGCCACTTCTGGCTTTTTCTGCTTATGTGGTGCTGAGGAATCGAACCCAGGGCCTCATGCATGCAAGGAAAGCACTCTACCACTGAGCCACCTTCCCAGCCCTGAAATGTATCTTTTAAACTAATAAAACTTTTACAATGACCTGTTTGAGATCTTTACATACTTTGAACAAATATATTGATAAATAAATTCAAGATATAATTTCCCACCTTAAAGTGAGTATAAATATCTCCCATATATTCTCTTAAAAGTTTATTCTTCCACTTACTCCTTAATATTAATGAAAATCTCAAAATTTATTTTCTCTAAGTGCCTTTATAGCCCTCTTTGCCCCAACAGATACTGATTTTCAGCTCTGCCAATTATTAGCAAGTTTTTGTTTCAGTTCACTGTGCTTCAATTTCCTTACCTATGAAATAACTATGTTATAGTTACTGTATTAAGAATGAAGTGAACCAGTACATAGAAGACATTGCTTGGCATTTAGTAAGTGCTCAATAAAATACTTTTATTACTGTAAAACTTTTTAAACTTTAATGTTATTCTCTATTTTAGAATATTCTCCAGGTATACATTATAAATGCTTTGGGTTCATAGAAAGAATACTATTAATCACAACAACTATTTCTGTGATGGATTTCCATGGCAGGAAATCAAAAACAATTGAGTCTGTCAAGATTAAATGGCTTACTGTGTCCATAAAGGAAACCTTATAGCTCTGTAGTGGACCATTATTCTTCCTCTGAGAGTTCTGAAGTAGTCTGGAAACATTAGAATAAATGAATAGTCAGCTAATTCTTTGAAATCATAATGCTAATTTGCTTTTTAGTTTTGCCACCTTTAAGAAAGCTCTTTAGCTGATTATCTCTTTATGAAAAGAATTATAAATAATTCATTGGCTAAGAGAATGAAGAAGAGGCAGATAGATAGATAGATAGATAGATAGATAGATAGATAGATAGATAGATAGATAGATAGATAGATAGATGGCATATTTGGAAATGCCAACTTGGAATCCAAGTTTTAAAATGAGTGAGTTAAACCAAAGGTATTTTTATAAGGAAAATCTCAAGCTGCAGAATATCTGAGATGGGGTATACATTGGGAATAGTCAGGAATGGGAAGCCATACTGGAGGCCACTGCAGACATCCCATAGGGTGGTGATGGTGGCTTTGATGAGAAATGTGAGAGTGGGGTGAAGAAATGTAGATAAATTGATATATGTTTAGGAAATGCTAGGATGTAGGTTATATGCTGTCCGCAGATGGTGAGGCATAGCAGGTACAGAGATCATGGGTTTCTGGCTTGCATCATGGTGGGTGGTGCCATTCTCTGAAGCAAGAACTATTAGATAGAGATCAAGTGTTGAGTGTTTTGAGAAGACAGATTAAAAGTTCACTTAGACTAACCAGTTTGAGGTGCCTTTAAATATGAAATAAGCTGGTGAATATCTGGCCCAAAAAGTCAGAGATGTATAAGTCAGCGAGGGAGTCTGAAAGTCGTTTATGTGGGGAGTTCCTCCTCTCCTCCTTAAGTCTTTATGGATAGGACAGGAAAAACATATCTGAAAGATAAAGTCAGACCCATCCACCCATTCATCGTTATTTGTGTATCTACTATCGTGAAGAAAATTATTGCAGGAGAAATCATCAACTGCATATAGTTCAATTCACACAGTGAGAGCTAGTGCTTGAATATTATGCTTCATCATATTTCAAATATAATGTTCACTC